GCCTGACCTGAGATCTCAATGCCACTCTTCTTGAAGATGTCAGTTACCTTTGTTTTCCTGAATTGGGGATAAAGTAATTGACGGTATTCTTTGGGCTCAGCTGATCATCATCATCTTCTTTTTTTTAATTTTTTTTTTAGTTGTAGATGGACACAATGCCTTTATTTTATTTATTTATTTTTATGTGATGCTGAAGATTGAACTTAGTGCTTGATACACGCAAGGCAAGCGCTCTGCGACTAAGCCACAATCCCAGCCCTCAGCTGATCTCTTTAGTCAGCTTTTTCTCTTAAGACATTAAAATGTCTAATAAGTTCTGGTTGGTACTTATAAAAAATAGTGACTTCTGGGCTGGGGTTGTGGCTCAGCAGTAGAGCACCTGTCTAGCATGTTCGAGGCCATGGGTTCGATCCTCAGCACCACATAAAAATAAACAAAATAAAAGTATTGTGTACAACTATGTAAAAAAAAAACAGTGACTTCTGCATGTATTTTAATGACTGTGGGAGTCACTGCTCTACCCATAGTCCTCTGCCTCTAATATAGCAACTGGTTAAACACTATGCTGACGACACATGGTTCCCTTCAGGATGTACAAGAGGGATTCAGGTGCTCCAATCAAGATGCTGACTGGTGGATCCATTTCACTGCTGAACCAAACTGCCTTTCCCTTTGTGTGGTTTTCTACTCAAGACCAGACAGCTTGCATTTACTTCAGACACCAGTTCACTTCTCTCTGACGCCAAAGTCATGCTTGGAGCCCCAGACCCCCTATTCGCCCACATACAGAAAAGAGTTTGAATCTGCCAGCAGGCAGGGGGCAAATAAGCCTGTATCCTATGGGGGCAGGTACAAGGTTCTAGTACTCCTTTAGCACCACGGCCTGTTCCTACTGCTCTTCCAATCCCTACTGTCCCTGAGTTGGTAGTGTTAATGCCCCCATTTGCTAAGAACATCATTACTCAAAGCATCAGTGTTCTCCTGGGTGGTAAATTTTTCTTTTCTGTTTGATTTCTCCATGTCCCCAATTCTATCTGCTTTTTATATTCCAGAAATTACTCAAAATCACTCAAAATTTCCTCCCATATCCATAGGACTTCAGGAAAAAAAAGGAAGTATATGTGTGATCTTATGTCATCATCTTGAATTGGAAGTCTTTTGTGTATTTTTACATAAGATCTTTCCAGCTCAAAGTAAAAGTTCTTTGATAGTAAATCCAAGAAATAGTGACAAACACCAAAGGCCAGGTCTATGTAGTGTGATGCTAATAAGATCTGGAACTCTTAAATATATGTCTCCAAGCACATGTGTTGTACTATCTGATATTAACTCACAAATCATTAATTTGTTCTACTCATTTTCTAGTTCTTTTTCCCCCATCCCTTAGATTGGAAAATGTCTACTGATGTGCTATCAAGTTCACTGACTCCTCCCTACCCCTAATTTATTTAAATGATTCAGTAAAATTTTCATTTCTATAGTTTTTATTTCTCTACTGAGATGTGCCATTTGCTCATGCTTTACAAGCATATTTTTCTCTACATTCTAGAGTATAATAGCTGCTTTAAAATTCTGTCATCTAATTCTAAAATCAGGAATTAATCTTGGAGTAACTAAAGAGTGACTACTAATATACAGGGTTTACTTTTGGGATGATAAAAAATTCTAAAACTACTTTGTGGTAATGTTGTTAAAACATTCCACAGAAGAAAATCTTGATTTCTCAAGTAACACTATTCCCTGTCATTAAGTTGTTATATGACGTGCTGACTTAAATCTATCCCAAATGAGGAATTCTCAAGAAAAAAAGGAATGACCTCCCATAAATCTACAGAGATCTAACAAAAAATGTAATATGTGAAATTTGGTTAGATCCTGGTTCCTATATTTTAAAAAAGAACTATAAAAAGACAAATTGAGGAGGGGTGGAGCTGGGACTCAGCAGTAGCACACTTGCCTAGCATGTGTGAGGCACTGGGGTTCAGTTCTCAGCACCGCGTATAAATAAATAAAAAATAAAGGTCTATCAACAAATTTAAAAAAAAAAAAGACAAAATGAGAACAGCTGGAGAAATCTAAACAATCTAACTAAGGGATTGTGGCTTTGCACATGCTAGGTAAGTACTCTATTACTGAGTTATGCCCCCAGACCAATAATTTTTTAAATTTTTTTTCAAGGAATTACAAGTCAAAATATTTAGGAGTTAAGAGTCACGAGGTCTACTACTTATGGCCAAATAGTTCAGTTAAACATACACACACACCCAAAAGGCAAGCATTGCAAAATGTTAACAATGGTCAAGTATAGACAACAAATAGTAACTATACTATTCTATCGATATCCATACATATAGTAACTGATTCTGTGGCTCAATAGACTTTTAGTCAAGCCTGTAGTGATCATTCAATATTTATACATATTTGAACTTTCCATCTCAAGAAGTGGGAAGAGTAGCTATATAGTTAAAAAACATATTCTGGATTTTCAGTCATTTTCTAATGAAAATACAAATAATGTAACAAATTATAAAGTTTTATCTTAGAATTTTAATGATCTAACATTTTTCTAGCCACTGATCCAACTACCACAAGGTGTCACTCTTTCCACAAATGAAAGACTGCAAGAGAAAAGGTATTTATTAATACTAATGTACTAAATGGACAGTGCACTGAACTTCCATATTAATCTAAAAAATTTAAAGCCTTTTATAAGTTGAATTTGATAAGTCCTGTCAAGTCAAAATACAAACTAAATTTAAATGCTAGACTAAAAGGTTCTTTAAACTGTAAGATAGGCCTGCAGTTACAGCTCAGTGGTAGAATGTTTGCCTAGCATGTGTGAGGCACTGGGTTTGATCCTCAGCACCACATAAAAAAATAAATAAGGGGCTGGAGATATAGCTGTTGGTAGAATACCTGCCTGGTATGCACAAGGCCCGGGTTCAATCCCAAGCACCACCAATCAATCAATCAATCAATGAACAAACAAATAAATAAATGTATAAAAAATACAATAACCTTTTTTTAAAAAAAAAAAGTTTATCTTAATGATTCTGTTTCCTCAGTATACAGAGCCTCAGAAAAGTTCCAAAAAACCTTGGAGTCAATCTACAGATGCTAAATCAACTAACCAGAGTTCAGAACTTCCACAGGCTACTTTGAAGGATTGTAACAAATGACTTATTCTGCCTTGGCAACAGATCAAACTGCCCTACCTATGCATTCACGATACAAGGGAATCTGACTCAATCTGTATTAGCCAGTTGGTACTGTCAAGGAATGATAAACTGGCAGAACTCAAAAGAGCAGTAATGTGCACCAAAAGTTTAAAAAGTCCTAACTAATGCATCCAAGAAAGATTACTTCCATTCTCCTTGTCCATCCCCATCTAGATAATAAAAAAATGTATTAAAGGGGCTGGGGTTGTGGCTCAGTGGTAGAGATTTGCCTAGTATATGTGAGGCACTGGGTTTGATCCTCAGCACCACATATAAGATAGGCCTGTAAGATAGGGCCTGCAGTTACAGCTCAGTGGTAGAACTTTGTTTACCTACAACTAAAATTATATATATTTTTAAAAAGTGAGTTACAATTTAAAATTTGTGGGGCTGGGGTTGTGGCTCAGTGGCAGAGCACTTGCCTCACACATGTGAGGCACTGGGTTCGATCCTCAGCACCACATAAAATGAATAAACAAAATAAAGATTGCATCATCCATCTACAATTAAAAATATTTTTAAAATTTTTTGTTAATATTTGATGCTCTAGATAAAGTACATACAAGAATTTTTTAAATGTATGATTATTTGGAAATTATTTATAAATAATTTCAAACTTAGAAAAGATTGCATAAATAGTATAAGGAACAGCTATATATACCCATTTACTCAGATCTGCCTATTGTTAACAGTGTATCCATTTGTTTATTGTCATCTCTTTATCTCTGTATCTAACTATCCATATATTCCTTAAATTTTTTCTGGAAACACTTGGGATATACATCATGGCTCTTTACCCCTAAATATTCAGTATGTACTCCCTAAGAACAGGGATAATTTCTTACATAAATGCATGTAGTACAGTTATTGACTTCATAAATTTATATCAATATAATATCTTTATCTAATCTATTATCTATAATACAATTTAATTTTTTTTTTAGTCGAAGATGGACAGAATACCCTTATTTTATATATTTATTTTTATGTGGTGCTGAGGATCAAACCCAGTGCCTCACACATGCTAGGAAAGTGCTCTACGACTGAGCTACAACCCCAGCCCTACAATCCAATTTTTTGATAATGACCTTTATGATATTTCCCGGCTACAGTACTGAACCTATCTCAACACAAGTATTACCTTTAGCTGTCATGTCTCCTTACCACATGTCTCCAACACTGGCATTCCTGAGGGCAAATTGTTGCCCAATTTTTTACTTTGTATAATTTCTGTTTTTTTCCCTTACTTGAAACTAATAAACAGTCCATAGGAAAATGTTTTAAGTTAAGATCGTGTAAATATCTGACTCCTCACCAACATTTCTWAACAGAAATACTCTATGCTATTTTTGCAGCATTTTGGCAAGTCTAAAATAATTAGAAAATAAAAAGTTTTAGAAAGTTAAAAATTAAAACCCTAGTTTCAATTCTACCACATTATAAAGTCTTCAAGGTTAATATGAAAATCAGACAAATAAGAAAAACCTGTGCCTTTCACTTTGAAGATTATGGAAGATCAATATTTTTCTTCTCACTATACTTGCATCATTAAAAGTAAGTAACAAATGACTTTCCTTAATTGGGTACAATTTTAAAGTAATGCTACCACTGAACAGTTTTTCTTTAGGAATAAAACATCAATACAAACTAACATGTGAACTATAACTATAGGCCTATTTATGCAATCCAACTATGCTGCAAATCAGAATTATTAATTTTTACTACTACATGCAAATATATGTAAAAACACTAAAAGAAATTAAAAGTTCTCTCATCACTTACTCTCTAAATCAGAAATAATGAGGTTGTCATGAAGTTTCACAGCTCGATGTTGTTCTACTTCATCTTCAAGTTCAAAGATGGTTTCTTTCATGTCGCTCCGTTCTGTCTCTTTTTCCTCCAGTTCTGACCTTAATTTTTCTAATGTCATATTTAAATCTTCAATTTGTTTCTTAGCTTCTTCTTGGAAGGCTCGATATTCATCTTCTACCTATAGAAAATTAAAAACCAGTTTAGAAAAGCAAAGTTTTTGTAAGATAAACTTTAGAACTTAAGTACACACCATTTCAAATGAAAGCTCAGTGTAACATGTTATATATAAACTAAAAAAATCTATAAAAACCATTAAAAAATGTGAGGGGCTGGAACTGTAGCTCAGTGGTACAGTATCTGCCTTACACATGGAGACACTGCGTTCGATCCTCAGCACCACATTAAAAAAAAAAAATAAGTAAATAAAGATATTGTGTCCATCTACAACTTAAAAAAAATTTTTTTATTACTCCACAATACAAAATTTTACATGTTTTAAAGCATAAAGTGTTGCAATATTGCCAAAAGAAATTATACTGATGTATCACAAACTTAAACAGGTTATTTAAGAGGAAATTATAAATAAATTTTCCCTTCTTTGAAGTTTGGGCCAAATGCATATATGTGATTAATGATTAACATGCTTTCTTGGGCTGGAGTTGTAACCCAGTGGTAGAGCGCTTGCCTAGCACATGTGAAGTACTGGGTTTGAACCTCAGCACCACATACATAGATACATAAATAAAATAAAGGTATTGTGTCCATCTACAACTAAAATATTTTTTTAAATGTTCTCCTGAAAAAATGATTTGTGACCAAATCAAATAGAACATGAAAATAATTTTTTTTCAAATAAATGAATCATGATGGCATGCATCTATATACCCAGATATGTTGGAGACAAATTCAGAAGGATCACAAATTTGAGGACAGTGTGGGCAACTCAGAGACCCTATCTCAAAAAAAAAAAAAAAAAAAAAAAGGCTGGGGATACAGTTCAGTGGTACAGCCACCTGGGTTCCATCCTTTAAAAAAAAAAAAAAAAGGCAATTGATCAATCAATCAAATAGTGCCTTTACTGAAGTATTAGTTCATAGTGTCCCCTCAACATACATGCTCCAAGAAATAACACACATCTTCTAAATTGTATCTCTGAAAGTGATCATTTTAAAAATTAAAGTTTTAGCCAAAGATTTACTAATATTTTTCCCTTTAAAATCATTTCACTTGGGCTGGGGTTGTGGCTCAGTGGTAGAGCACTTGCCTAGCATTATGTGAGGCACTGGGTTCAATTCTCAGCACTTCATGTAAATAAATAAGTAAAATAAAGATCCATCAACCACTAATAAAGTTTTTTTTTAAAATCAGTTCACTTAAACAAAAAAATAAATAAAATGTGAGACAGGATAACTAGATAACCCCATGCAGCAACCATATTGGATAGAGCCTTGGCCAAAATATCAGCGACTCAGGGTAGCAGTTCTGACTGAGCCCTCATTATTATACTGCATGACTGTAAAATAGGGAGGTTGGATGGATAATCTCTAAGGTCTCTACCAGCATTATATCCTAGCCTCCAAGAAACAGAAGCCCCTATAATCTACAAATACTTTAAATTCACAACAAAACTATTTGAAAAACTATAATTATAACAGGATAAGAAATGGCAGGAACTGCTGATCCTATAGACTAAAATACTGTGCTCTATCTATCTTATGCCAAAGTATATTAGAGATGAAGAAGTAGAATTCCATGACAGGCCTCATAGGCATACCCACAACTAAGCACAAATTCTGGTGTTATTAACTCTAGCCCCATCCTCTCACAGGAAGGAAAATAGTAGTGAAATGAAAGTGGAAATGACATTATTAAAAAAAAAACAACAAAAAACTTTTCATGCTATTCTAAGAAAACCATTCTCAAGCTTTAAAAAAAATACCTTAAAGAAAAACTAACGACACATTAAATAAGTGCTCCTGGCTCTCAATAAGTATGTTGTGTAAACTGTATAATGTTGATCCAAAACATTTTTATTTACTTAAACAATACCTTAGCAATAGTGTCCTGCAATCTATTAGCATCATTTCGGGTATGAGCCAGATCTTCCTGTAGGCTACTAGCCAAAGTCTCTGCCTTTTCTTTGTCCAGTCTAACACTCTCCAGGAGATCCTGAATATCAGATTTATCTCCAGAGTTATGGATAGAATATAGCTCAGCCACTTTCTGCTTTTCATTCTCTAGCTGGGCTTTCAGGCGATTCATCTCTATCTGGTCACTAGCCACTGTGGCTTTGTACTCCTCTAATGTGGCTGCCAAGGCTGCCTTGCCCTTCTGCTCAGATTCAATAATTCGCTCCATGTGGTGACTACGTTCTTTGAGTGCACCTATCATTTCTTGAGCTTCCTTGTTATCCTGTTCTGCCATTTTCAAAGTATTACTTAAATGCTGCTGAACACCTAGCAGCTGTTCTCGTTCAAAACGGGCATTCTCAGCTAAATCCATATAACGTTGTTCTAACTCCATATAACGTCCACTTTTTACATCTTCATCTATAACATAAGAAATGTGATGTTCATCTAGAAGGGAACGAAAATATTCAATCTGTCGACTAAAGTGTTCTAACTTATCACTTTGTTGACATAAGGATTCCATAAGAATGACTTTTTCCTCCCCAAGCCTTTCATTTTCACTATTCAGTTCTTGGGTAATCTGCTGTAAATCAGCTAGTTCTTGCAGAGTTGCTTGAAGTTCCTCGCTCGTACTGTGCTGGTTCTCTTCCATCTGGTGTATTCGTTCTGTCAAGCAAGCAACAGACACCTCACTTGCATTCCCACTGCTCCCTTTCCGAGAGCGCTCTATGCTGGGGATGCCCTCTGACTCTGAAGATGATGGTGCATCCAGAGCATCATCACTTGAAGTGAGAGGTTGGTAAACCTCACTGCATTCACTGTCTAGGTTGTCCATAGAGTTACTATGCTGATGGTCCATGAGCGTATTTTCATCCTGACTCAAGAGATCCTCCACTGACCCAGGGGCAGAGCCTTCCACTGAAGAAGTCAGAGTTCCTCCTCCATCACTCTGGTTACCAGTGGCAATTTCTGGGCTCAGGGACTGATAGCCAAATAATTTTTCAGAATTGTCTAACCTCTGCTCTAAGGAAAAGCCCAATGCATTCAACCTGTCCTTTAACATTCTGTTTTCATTTTTCAGCTGGTTGAGTTCTTCACGGATGGCAGTATTCTGTTCCTGCAACTGCAATAAAGTAGACTCCACATCAGTAGGCTGGTGAGCAATAATTGTTTCCTTCTCCTCAGATTTCTCATCGCCCTCAAAATGATCTTCATTAATGCCCAGCTGAGCACGCATGTCTCGAAGTTCATTTCTTAAATGTAAAATTTCCACATCTTTGGTTTTTGCCAGTGCGAGGAGATCTTTCACTTTGGCTTCCAAAGCAGCTTTGTCACTGATCTGATTGTCCGATTTAGACTTGCTCATTCGAACATCACATTCAGCAGTAATGCGACTGCGGGAACGTTTAGCCAAAGCCACATCATTAGCTCCCTGACCCGCAGAAGGTAGTTTTTTGCTCTGGTTTAGTCGAGTACGTTCACGTAATCTTTCTCTAGTAGAACTAGATTCTTTACTACCTGCAGAAGTGCTCCGCTTGGATGAAGTTGTGCCTGCATGTTTAAAACAAAGAATTTAAGGCAAAAATATTAACCAAAAAAAGCATATAATTCCTGCCCCAGGTCTAATAAGATGGAAGCAAGGGATCTACGCTTAATTTGAACATACATTAATCTTGACTTATAGTCTCTTTAAGATCCGGTTTCCTCAAAATCAGAAACTTGTTTATCTTTCTGTGAGCAATGACAAAGAAGTTTTATAATTTTATACTTTAAAAGGATAAATTTTATGGAATGTAAATTATATCTCAATAAAGCTGCTACCTAATAAAGATGCACACATTAACTCAAATCCCAAAGCAGAGATTTAAACAGTGGGCCAGGGGCAAGTATTTTAGGGCAAGTTAGATGAAGATATTCTATGATTAGTCAGTCAAGTAGCAAACTAACTACAGAAATAGGATCGCAAGAAGGGAAAGACGGCTTTAGGATAAACAAAAAACCTAGGCAATAACTACAAAAATGATGACTAAAGTAAATACAAAAGGTTTCACATCATTGAATGCCACATAAACAGTAACAAAAATCATGACAATAGCTAGCACATATGATGCACAATAACAATTCAGAGTGTGCTGGGGATACAGTTCAGAGGTAGAGTGTTTACTTAACATACACAAGGTCCTGGGTCCAATTCCCAGCATAATATACATACAAAAGGAAAAAAAAAACCTGCCACCTCACAAACATAAATTTAAATAAGCCTCCTTACTCTGAGGTTGATGCTATTATCACCCCATTTTACATTTTAATAAAAAGTCAGACTCAGAGATTTTAAAGAATTTACCCCGCAGGTGATAATTGAACCAAGATTCAAAGCCGGGCAGTTTGGCTGCAGAATCTGCAACTTCACAGTTGGCTATATTACTTCTCATAGTAAAATAATGATGTGTTAATGTTAAATGATGATGATGTGTTAATCAAACCTGCTACAAATCACACTCTTTTCACTAGGCCTGGTGGTACAAGCCTGTAATCCCAGCAGCTTGGGAGACTAAACCAGGAGGATCCCAAGTTCAAGGCTACCCTCAGCAACCTAATGAGACTGTCTGAAAATAAAAAAATAATAATAATTTTTAAAAGGGGTGGGGATGTAGCTCAGTGGTAGAGCATCACTAGGTTCAATATCTAATATCAAAAAAATAAATACACAAACAATCACTCTTTCTTTTTTTGTGGGGGTGTGGGGGACCAGGGATTGAACTCAGTGAGTCACATCCCCAGCCCTATTTTGTACTTTTTTTAAAAAAAATATTTTTTTAGTTGTTGATGGACTTTATTTTATTCATTTAAATATGGTGCTGAGAATCGAACTCACTGCCTCATACATGCTAGGCAAGTGCTCTATCACCGAGCTACAACCCCAGCCCCCCTATTTTGTATTCTATTTAGAGACAGGGTCTCACAGAGTTGCTTAGCACCTTCCTTTTGCTGAGGCTGGCTTTGAACTCCTGATTCTCCTGCCTCAGCCTCCTGAGCCACTGGGATTACAGGTATACACCACCTGTCTGGCCAAACTCTTTCTTAACTACTAAAATTTTAAACCTCTGAAAGCAATCAACATGATCATTTAATAAAAAAAATATGTTTAAATATCTATAAACACCTAAGTAATAGTATATTCTTTACTCTTAAAAATAAAACCTAGATCTACTCTATATATTTCTAAAGAACCTTCATATGTTGGTCACCAAGATTATAGAGATAACAGGGATGAGTGATCTCTGTGATATAGGCAGATGGCCACTAATTTTGCCTTGACCAGATACAGAGGAGGAGAGGGAATTCAAGCTGGCCATGAAACAGACAAAGATAAGAAAGTATAAGCAAGCATGCACACCAAAAGGTAAGTTGACACAGTTAACAGAACCTAACTGTGGTATATGAATGCATATACCAACTACAGAGCCCTGAACCAGGCAGAATTCAGTGAGTCACCACAAGTCAACAGATTCTTGAGCAGGGAATAAACATAAGGGAAAAAGTTTTTTTGTACTATCTACAACAAATAAGGAAGAAAGAACAGTAGAAGACAGATGTGGGAAGATAAAGTAGTAAAAGTAAAGGGGGCCTATACTAGGGGGGTAGCAGTAAGAATGAGACAGGACAATAAATCTGTGACAGATTTTGAAGGCAGAGTGACAGGATTAGGAGAAACAAGTACAAATGGAGACCCAAAGAGGAAAAGGATGGCTTAACTTTTCTCCAACATTAATTCTTGTTCCATTTTCTTTTTCTTTTTTTTATATTTATTTTTTAGTTGGTCACAATATCTTTATTTATTTATTTGTATGTGGTGYTGAGGATCGAACCCAGGGCCTCACACGTGCTAGGCGACCACTCTACTGCTGAGCCACAACCCAGCCCCAATTTTTGTTCCATTTTCTATAAATGGTACCATTGTCCTTCTTATCTAAACCAAAAGCCTTGCCAAAAAAACAAAGATGTGAATGGCTGAAAAATGAAAGAAAAGGAGCCCAGAATGAAAACAAGGATTGACAATGTCCCCCAAATGAAAAGAGAAGTAAAGAGGAGAGAAGAAAATGCGGAACAAGAACAAGAGAAATTCCCCTCCTGGGATTACAGTAATGAGCGTTACAGCAGAACAGTCTGAACTAGAACTGGCGCACTGAAATCAAACAGCCTTAGGGAAGTCTCTGGGAATAGGTAAAGGCAGAGCAGATAAAGAATTAAGAATACTGCTAAGGGTACACTGTGCCACCCCCTACCACCATCACTGCAAATTTATATATTGAAGCCCTAATGCCTAGAACCTCACAGAATGCAACTGCATTTGCAGACAGGGTAAGTGAGTTAGTTAAAGAAGCAATAAAGTTAGGATAAGACTGTTACAGTGGGCCCTAAACCAGTATGTCTGATGTCTTGTAGAAGGTATTCAGACACAGGCAAAGGGCCGGCCACATGGGAACATGGTGAAAAATCAGTCATCTGCAAGCTAAGGAGAGAGACCCCAGGAAAACCAAACCTGCTAACACCTTGATCTTCAGATTTCAGAATTGTAAGAAAATAAATTTCTGGTCTGGGCCCAGTGATACACACCTGTAATACCAACAGCTTGGGAGGCTGAGGCAGGAAGACTGCAAATTCAAGACCAGTCTCAGCAACTTAGTTAGGCCCTAAGCAACTCAGAGAGGACCTGTCTCTAATAAAATATTTTAAAAAGGGCTGGGGATGTGGCTTAGTTATTAAACATCCCTGGGTTCAATCCCCAATACCAAAGAAAATAAATTTCTGTTGTGTAAGCAAATCAGTCTATGGTACTTTGTTATGGTGGCCCTAGCAGACTAACACAGATGTACAAACCCATATTAGGGCCACTATTCCAGGGAGGCGATAACTGAATCCTGAGGTCAGGTGATAATGGTCAGAAAAATGTAAAACCTATGGAATCTCTCCCAATACAATTCTAAAGGTTAGAAATGGGAAAAGACACAAATAATCAATAGAATATTTAATTTACTGTTTCTTTTTTACCATAAAAGCTAGAGTACTAAATGTAGTGATGACCCCAGTGTAAAAGACCAAAAGTTCAGTGTTGCTCCACCACCAAGTCTGCATCAAAGGCCCAGTATAAAATGGGTCCCCAGTAAACATTCATTGAGTAAATTAATGCATGGCCTTTGGCAAGATACTTAAACTTGGCTTAAGTATAGCTTTCTTGTCTCTAAAAATGAAGATAATAACAGTCTTTATCTTCATAGGGCTGCAGTTAAGGATAAAATGAACTAATGCCTATAAAAAGTAAGGACTGAAATATTCCATCTTGTTAATCATACCACAGCACTATTAAAATGAACGGTGGGGTGTCATCTGTGATGAAAGAAACAACCTGCAGAAGATCAAATCGAATGAATGAGGGGAAACAGTAAACCTGGGCTAGGAAAGTCTAACACACACAACAGTGGATAACAGCCTAAGTGATGTCATGATGACAGAAGAGGTTCTGGGGTAATTTTTGCCAACTTACTTTTATAAACTTTACTACAATCATATGATCTTATGGAAGCCTTGAAGTTTTTTGTTTTCTGAGTATAAAAAGCAAAATATAATAGCATTCCTCCTTAAACTGTAGAATGAGTAAATTTATCAATTCTAGCAAATATAAAAACAGCTGCCATTTAATTTGAATGATCAATCTAGGTACCAATCAATAAAGGCTTACATCACAGAATGATGGACAATAAGTCAATCACACCACAACTCATAAAAGAGTCTCTTTTTTTTAAATATTTTCTAGTAGTAGATGGATACAACACCTTTATTTATTTATTTATTTTTATGTGGTGCTGAGGATCAAACCCAGTGCCTCACATGTGCCAGGCAAGAGCTCTACCACTGTGTCACAACCCAAGCCCCAGGAGTCTTGCTTTTGTTTATTTATTTTTAAAAAAGGAATCTGAATCTGTCCTATCAGGGCTCTAGGTCTAATGCCATTTACAGTGAATACAGAGGACAAAGGGTAATACTCAAGGACATTATGAGAATGTTCTGATATCAAAAATTTGATATTAGGAAATACTACAGGTCAAAGGTCAGTTTCTATAAAAATTAAACTGCAAAAAAAGGGGGGGTTAACCTATAGATTTAAAAAAGCAGACTTAAGACACACATCAGCCAATTACTGTATATGGCCCTTAAGTGAATCCTGTCACGAATAAAAACATTTTTTAAAAAAATTTAGAGGTGAAAATCTAGCATTTACTAACTTATGATTTAAAGAATAATTAATAATTATTTTAAGAAATGATAATAGTATTGTGATTGTTTTTAAAAGAATCTTTATCTTTCAAAAATAATTAAATTTTATGGATGAAATTATATCATGTCTGGAAATAACTTCAAATTTTATTATTAAGGATTAGGAATGTAGTGCTTGCTTAGCATAAGCAAGGCTCTGAGTTCAATCCCCATCACTAAAAATAAATAAATAAAATAAGTGGGAAGGATGGTTATTAAGGACCTAAGAATGGTTATGAATTGATAAAGATGATGAGTACAACATGTCTACTTTTGCATATGTTTGAAATTTTTCTCTTTTCTTTTTAATTGTTTCATAATTAGATGGAATRCCCCAAACAATAACGCACACTATGCCTACTCAAACAAAAGGCAATCAATATCTCAAACTGGAGGGAAAGGGGAAATACTGGGGAATGATACTAGCCAAATTATATTGTTATGCTGGATGTATGTATGAATATGTAACAACAAATCCCACCATTATGTACAACTATAATATACCAATAAAAAAAAATGGGAAAAAAATCCACACTGAATGCCATACCTGTGCTAATCTTGGACTTGTTCTCCACGGTGGTCATGGCAGGGGCAGATGCTGAAGGTGCTGCAGATGGGCAGGTACTTTTCTTTCCTTTAACACCATTAGTCACTGTTACCCCTCCAGCCATTCCAGCTAAAAGGTCATCACTACTCTTGGTCTAGAAGCAACAGAAAATAAAAACTAGATGAAGCAAGACTAAATATTTCAAGATTAAACAAAGTTCTTTACTTTTATACTGATTTTAAGAGCTACATAAAGACGTTCATTCATTTTGTAAGCATACTGTGCTATAGAAACAAAATCTTTTTATGGTTTCTAAACAATCATACAGTTTTATTTTAAGACACTAAAATCATAACATGTAATCAAAGATTTTATGGATGCCTGCTGTGCACCCACATATACCAAATTCAGTGAGGGGTGGGAAGAAGTAAAGACATCATCCTTGTTACTGTCATCTGGGACATGACTCATAAAGAGGAATCTTCTCAGTGAAACCACATGGGCATCTCAAGACAGTTCTATACTGCCACAGAAAGTGCCACCTTGAAAGTTCTAGGGATCATTGAGAGGCAAATAATCTTCACTACTCTAAAGTGACTCTCTGAAAATAATTTCTAAAAGAAATTATTCCTAAATTTATCTTTCTTATGCAGTTCTCTAAGAGTCAAACTTATATCAAAATTAAAAGAAAAACATTGAAGGGGCTGAGTTGTGGCTCAGTGGCACTGGGTTCGAGCCTCAGCACCGCATAAAAATAAATAAAATAAAGATATTGTATCCATCTAGAATGAAAAAAATATTTTAAAAAAACATTGAAAGGACATCCTCTGTTTAAGCCTGGGTAATATATCAATTAAAATTAGAAACTTCATTGTTAAAGCAAGGGTTAGCTTGTCTCAATGATTACATCCCTTGAGAAAGACCACTTGTGACATTTCTTCATCTTTTATAAAGATGACTAAAAGTAACACTATGAATAATGGAACAGGCTTTAAAATTTTTATTTTAAAAAAATAGTGAAGAAATTTGTTTTTATTTCTCCTATAAATGAGAGAAAACACAGGAGTTAAAAAGCTGTAGAATATAAAGAAAATCTACTTTTTTCCCTTTATCAAGACAGGGTCTCACTATGTTGCCCAGGTGGGCCTACATTCATGATCCTTCTGCCTCAGCCTCCCAAGGATCTGGGATTATAGGCACGCGCCATTGCACCTGGCTAGAAAAACTACATTTAAATCAAGTACTGGAAAACTTTTCCTCTTTAAGGTGAAGGTACAAGTTGGCCAAGTAATTTATACTGTCTTAATCTATACACAGCCATGCTCTCTTAGTTAGATAATGATAAGTTCATTTCTACAAATTAAAATGGTTCACAAGTAACTAATTTCTAAAGTCTCTTTCAGTTCTAAATGTCAGTGACTCCATATGGAAATTTCCGTTTTCAGCACTCACTTATGGAAATTATAATACAGTACCATTAATTTGGGCAAAATATCTTATTTAAAAAGAGGCAGAGGGGTTGGTAGAGTAACTCAGTGGTATAGCACTATTCTAGAATGCTCAAGGGCCTGGGTTGATTCCAGGCTGGGTGCAGTGGCACATGCCTGTAATCCCAGCAGCTCCGTCCATTAAGAAACTAATTTACAAAAAAATAAAATAAGGCAGAAAAGGCATCAATGTTTTCAAAAAATTAAATAGAATTAAATTGTGGGAATTTAGGGTTGTCACATTATGAAAAATCTAGAACATCTAGAATAAAAAGGAAAGAGGACATTGCATTGTTTATTCTACAAGACTTGTTCCTGCTAAAGAAAACTGGCCATCAACTAATATGCCAAAAAATTCAAATGGAGTCCCCTTTCTTGTCAATACACCTTCATCCATTAGGCAGTATATGAATTCAACATAAATCATTTTCTGTTGTTGTTAATTAGATTTATCTTTCAACTAATTTTTCTTCTTCCTTAAGTTAAATTTTCCTTTTGTAATAATTAATTTGTAAATACTTATGTGGAAAAATGGCTTAATCGTCACACTTCTCTGGTTACAATTTGGCTTTGGGCAATGGCAAGGTTAAACATACCGTGGGGCACCAAATCACAAACTCTAATAATAGTAATTCAGATCTCATAGTACTGGCAAAAATAAACCAGTAAAACAAGGTAAAGAGCCAAGGGTAGGGGACGTAGTACTTGCCTAATATGTGTGAGTTCAATTCTAGTACCCCACACATACATACACATACAAAAAGAGTCCATTAAGAAACTAATTTACAAAAAAAAAAATAGAAACTAATTTACAGCCAGGGGTGTGGCTGCAATGGATCTGTGGATTGCAAGGTCTACGCCAGCCTCAGCAACTCAGTGAGAGCCTGTCTTGAAAATTAAAAAGAAATAGGGATATAGCTCAGTGGTAAAGTGTCCCTGAATTTAATTCCAAGTACAAAAAAAAAAAAAAAAAAAAAAGAATGAAACATTATTTACAGCCAAAGAAGCAGCGCAGAAAACATGGGTTTTCCAGTAAACGGTGCTAGATCCAGTGCATATTTTTAAAAAAGGTCGATTTCACACCATATCAAAAATAAAGTCCAAGATCTTCTACATGACTCAAAATCCTGAATTACAAATAACTGATCAATATAAACACATAAAAATTAAAAATCTTAAAACAAATTTTTAATTTAAAAAAGTTTTAAAAACCCTTGGTATGTCAAAAAAGAAACCCAAAAATAAAAAAAAAAAAATTTAAATAAAACATAAAAACTGGGGATTAAGGTATCATTTGTCATCTATCAGATTGGCAAAATGAAAAGTATAAAAGTATAAAGTAGAAAAAAAGGTACACTTTTAAACTGCAGGTGGGAACCACCTTGATGTAAAAACCACACATGCATACACATTTTGCCTAGTAATAGCAATACAGAGTTTTAACCTGAAGTTATACCTCAATAATACAAAATATATATATGCACAAGGTTATTCATTATAGTGTTGTTTCTGGTTGCAAAAGATTGGTATACCTTACGAGCCTGTATACAGTAAAGTGCATGTAGTATACTTCAGTGACCAAAATGAAGTACTAAACAGCTAGAGAAAAAGAATAGAATTAGCTGGGTGCAGTGGCACATGCCTGTAATCCCAGCAGCTCAGGAGGCTAAGACAGGAGAATTGAGAGTTCAAAGCCAGCCTCAGCAAAAGCAAGACACTTAAGCAACTCAGGAAGACCTGAAAGGAAAATAAAAAGAGAAACAGAGACAAGATGCAGAGGCTAGATAAGAAGTGGCTCCTTGTCCAAGGGGCCGTATTTATTTATACCAATAGGTTACATTAGGTCATTAATACCATAACTACATTATTATTTCAATTACATTCCACAGTTACAATATGCAATGTCAGGAGCTTTGTGCAGCTCTCAAGAAAGTCCATTGTCTAAAGTTACTGTTAGATGGGCAGATCCAGAAGCACCAGAGCTTGGTGAAATGTTGCAGTTATCTAGCAAGCAAGTTCCTTTACTCCTAGGAGCTATGTGCCTGCAATCGAGGTTGAATGAGGCTCTAGCACAGAGGCTTCTCAAGCAGGGCATTGCCATACCAGTTAGATACTGCACATATATTTAGTTATTTTACTAGATCCTAGGAGAGACTGCAGGGCATTCTAAGGGTGAGAAACAGAGCCCCTGTTGCCTGCCTCCCCAGGAATTTGCTCACCAGGGGACTGCTTCCCTGTACATTTCCACAGTCAGAATCACTACAGAGATCCTGTCTCTAAATAAAATACAAAATAGGGCTGGGGATGTGGCTCAGTGGTAGAGTGCCCCTGAATTACAATCCCTGGTACCAAAAAAAAAAAAAAAAAAAAAAAGCAAGATTGCTTAAATTGGTATAGAGACTTTTCTAGAACATACTAAGTGAAAATAAGCAAATTACAAAAAAACTAAATAAGTATGTATCTGTGTATTTATGTAAAAAATAACACTGTAAGGATAAATGGAAACCAAACTGTTTATCTCCAGGGAGCAAGAACAGAGCAAGACAAAATGGAGAGTGGCACACCCCTACAATCCCAGAGGCTCAGGAGAATTGTTGAGAGCCACAGCCGAAGCGGCCCCAGCAAACTTCCAGCTGCCAGTTGATGATTGGCTAACAGCCGCCCCAGCAAACTTCTAGCTGCCAACTGATTGGCTCCTCTGCGGTGATGCTCATTGGGCTATTTCCCCGCCCTTTCAGACCACGGAGCTGCTCATTGGGGGACTTTTTTTGGTCTGCCCACGCGACCCAGCCGATCAGCCTCAAGAGCAGGAGTGAGGGAGGTTGAGAGGCTTGTGGGAAGCCGGTGGTGGCAGTTGGGCTCTGAAGGTTTTTCCTGAGGAGCTGTTTTGTTTGGCGTGTGTGGTTCTAAAAATAAAGTTCATTTCTTTTGACAAGTGGCTCCTGAATTGTGCCCAGCCAGACTGTGGCAGAGAATTGCCAGTTCAAAGCCAGCCTCAGCAATTGNGAGAATTGCCAGTTCAAAGCCAGCCTCAGCAATTGCAAGGCGCTAAGCAACTCAGTGAGACCCTATCTCTAATAAAATACAAAATTGGACTGGGGATGTGGCTCAGTGGCCAAGTGCCCCTGAGTTCAGTCCCCAGTACCAAAAAAGAGAAGGAGGGGCTGGGGATGTGGCTCAGCGGTAGCGCGCTSGCCTGGCATGCGTGTGGCCCGGGTTCGATCCTCAGCACCACATACCAACAAAGATGTTGTGTCTGCTGAGAACCAAAAAAGAGAAGGAATGGAGGAAGAAAGAGGCACTTGTCTGAATATGTCTTCCCATGTAGTTCTGAAACTATGTTAGTGCTTCATTTACTCAAAATAAATCAATTAAAGTAACATTGGCAGAGGGCTGAAACAGAATATGGGAGAAACAAGTGGCACTATGTATATTTCAAATTAATTACAGAACCCAAGAATCTTCTGAACACAGCATTGTTTTTAAAATATTTTTTTTTAGTTATACATGGGCACAATATCTTTATTCTATTTATTTTTATGTGGTGCTGAGGATCGAACCCAGTGCCTCACATATGTGAGGCAAGTGCTCTACCACTGAGCCACAACCCCAGCTCATGAACACAGCATTTTGATCATGAATCTTCAAATCCTCAAGCCAAAACCTA